TACTCCAGTGTTGAATGTTTGAAGAAGAACAAAAAGTATTTTTCTCCTACAGAGGCAGCTGAGATGTTTGTTTCTCAATATGTGTGGTCTTACAGAACAGAACAGCCTTATAAAAATGGCACCTCTCTTTCTCTTTGTTTCACTGGAAGCAGTAGTGGTACATCTCTTTGCAGAGGTGCTGCTAGTCCCACTGCTCTCAGTAGACAGAAGCCTCAATTCTTCGTTAAACCCAGCAAATCATAACTTTAGAATAGGTGTGTATATGTATGCATATAGATATGCATCTATGTGTGTATATCTAGTTACCTGTGTATCTGTATATATTAAAAAATAAAAACCAAACCACAGTTGTCCCACCTAGGTCATATCCTTATCTAGGTCTGATTGCAACCCTGTAAGCTGATGCATTGATGAGGCTGAGGTTGTCCAGTGATGCCACGAAGAAATTACTTAGGGCTATCCATTAGTTGGAGACCAGAATAGACTGTGTGGCCTTGACTCCTACCCAGTTTGGGGTAATTTGCTGGCTTTTCCTCTTTTTATGTTACATTTCCCTTTCTACCCACTGTTTCCTCAGACTTATGTTTTTATAGCTGTTTTACTTTTGAAATAATGTATGATTTTTATCTTGCCTTAGTCTTCTGATATTATTACTATCTCTTGCTTCTGCGTACTGATTTCAGATCATGAAGAGTGAAGTACTGAGGGTGACCCATGAGCTTCAGGCCATGAAAGACAAGATCAAGGAGAACAGTGAGAAGATCAAAGTGAACAAAACCCTTCCATACCTTGTCTCTAACGTTATCGAGGTGAGAGCAGTGCGATTTTCTGCAGCAACAGAACTCTGCGCAATATATAATTGGGAAGGAGAAGGGCAGGGGAGTTCATTGGTAATTTGAGACATGGTGCATTCTCAAACTACAGATGCTCCTGAAGCCGGGGCTTTCAGGTTTTTCTGTTGGTTTTGTTTGTGACCTGGAAGTACACATCACTTGCCCCTTTCTTGTCCAAGTCATTCATAGGTGTTGGCTCCTGTTCATCTGTACATGTCAGAGCCACCAAGGGTGACACGGCCTCGCATAGCGTATACGCCTGGGCATGTGAAGTTTGGTACGTGCTTTCCAAAACTTCACTGCAAGTGAAAAGCAGTGGCTCTGTTAACTACATCACATTCTTTTTGTAATTCAGTCATTTTCCTGATAGGCCAAAAAAATGCTCATAGTTTTCTGTTTCTTAAAATAGAGGGTAGGTTTATGCTAGTGTTTTAAAACAATGAAGTTAAGTCTTAATGTAAGCTGTTGAAATGGGAAGAGAAATTAGTGTCATTAGCTACTACTTTGTTCTGAACTTTATAGTATCTGTGCCATTGTGTGTTGCTTCATCAGGAAAGGAAGAAATTAATTTTTATAGGAGGGCTTTAATGCTTTCAGGATTCTACTGCTGATGGATGATGGGAAATTTCATTTCTCCTACTGCATGAAATTTCATTTCTCCTACTGCATGTAGTTTTCAAAGCATAAATCCTGGGGTCATCCTGCTAGCCTGATTACATTGCTATGAAATCTCTCACTCTGGTTTTCAGCTGCTGGATGTTGATCCCAATGATCAGGAGGAGGATGGAGCAAACATTGACCTGGATTCCCAGAGAAAGGGCAAGTGTGCCGTGATCAAGACCTCTACGCGCCAGGTGAGGCCCATGTGCCCAGCAAGGCGTGAGGAGCACTGAGAAGGACCTTCTCCTAGTGCAGGTGTTTTTTCTTAATTTGATTTCTTTCCTACAGACATATTTTCTGCCTGTTATTGGGTTGGTTGATGCTGAGAAGTTGAAGCCTGGAGACCTTGTGGTGAGTGATAATGTTGTGGCTGTTAGATATGATGCTGGCCAGAAAACTGCATATGCCTTGCCCTTTAGAAAGGAGACAAATCTGTCTGGATTTCCCCAAGACCATTTCTGTACTAAAATTCTAATAAAAAGATATTATGGGTTCAGTCATATTTGTAGTATATAAAAGTAGTTTGGGGTGTGTGTGTTCTTTAGGTGCTGGCAGTTTAGATATTACCTTGTAAGCTTTCTAAACCCAATCTTTTGTACCATAAGTAAATTTTAAAATTGTACTAGGTTAGCTGTGGCATTGTCCACCATGTCAGGCTGTGGTGATTTGATGAGCATAAGTGGCAAAGCTGGTTATTTCTGCATCCTTGAGGTCTAGTGAATCATCTTTGATTGAGTATTTATTAATTGCTATCTGAAGGGTCTGTTAAAAGCGAAGGACTTGTGTTTACAGGGGGTGAACAAAGACTCTTACTTGATCCTGGAGACTCTACCTACTGAGTATGATTCACGGGTAAAAGCCATGGAGGTGGACGAGAGACCCACAGAGCAGTACAGTGACATCGGGGGGCTGGATAAACAAATCCAAGAGGTGATACTTTTATGTTTAGTTTCTGATGTGACTGAGGACAGTGGTTTTAGAACTTCAGCTCAGAACTTCAGTTCAGAGCAGGCTGCCTGGATCTGTGAAAGAATATTTTTCTTTTGCTGTAGCTTGTGGAGGCCATTGTCCTGCCAATGAATCATAAGGAAAAGTTTGAAAACTTGGGTATACAGCCGCCCAAAGGAGTCCTTATGTACGGGCCTCCAGGAACAGGGAAGACGCTTTTAGCTCGAGCGTGTGCTGCCCAGACCAAGGTAAAAGGAACCTCTGAAAGTGTGTGCTGCTGTGGGGTTGTGCCTGAAAAAGAGTAAGAACTCCTCCGAGGGGAGAGGGTTCATACATACAAACAGTGTTACAGAGGCTGTGGTTTTCCTGTATGTTTGCTTCCTTGCTTGTTTTAATTAAAGGCTTCTTGTAGTACTCAGAACTGACCCTACTGAGGAATGAGGCACAGGATTCTCTTTCACTTCCCAGGCTACGTTCCTGAAGCTGGCGGGTCCACAGCTTGTGCAGATGTTCATTGGTGATGGAGCTAAGCTGGTACGCGATGCTTTTGCTCTAGCCAAGGAAAAAGCTCCTTCCATCATCTTCATTGACGAACTGGATGCCATTGGCACTAAAAGGTGGGGTGTGGGCCATGTTGTAAAGCTCTTGGGAGCTGCCTAGAAGCTCCCTTTTGCCTGTGTATGTAAAGGAAGCTGAGCTTAAAGCATGGCCTATTCAGAAACAGCATAAAGCCAGTCACAGATAGATAGCAGTCGCCGCGATCCTTGAGCTCATGACCGAAGTTCGTGAGACTTGGGATTGATCTGATGTCTGCTGTGGTATAAAACTGTTTTCTGATAACTGCATCAGGCACATGGAGATGTTTACCCTCATTTACTACTTGGGCCTGGACAACATTAGCCCCATTCAGCTCTAGGGACATTATAAGACTTCGCTGCTGTGCCCAGGTTACCGTAGTTGCAGTCCTCATCAGGGTAGGACTTCTGTAGTTTCAGGGAGGAATTTGGAGGACCTTGGCCAAGGAGTGTGCACTGCAGTCATTCTGTCCTTTTAGGTGATTTAAAACACGGGGACAGGATGGTCAGGTTCATGCTGATTGATAGTTTTACCCTTGTTTCCTCCTTAGGTTTGATAGTGAGAAGGCTGGTGATCGGGAGGTGCAGAGGACCATGCTGGAGCTGCTTAATCAGCTTGATGGTTTCCAGCCCAACACACAAGTCAAGGTTGGGATCTAGCAGAGGGAGTTTCTGGAGGGGGCTTTAGTGGCGGGGTGGAAAACCGTGTCTGGGGAAGAAGCTTGGTGAATCCTTGGGGAGGAGAGGCCTGTCCCCCAGGTGCCTCAGACTGGTGACCTTACTTCTACTTAGGTGATAGCTGCAACCAACCGGGTGGATATCTTGGACCCAGCTTTGCTCCGCTCAGGACGATTAGATCGCAAGATTGAGTTCCCAATGCCTAATGAGGAGGCCAGAGCCAGAATTATGCAGATCCATTCGCGCAAGATGAACGTCAGGTATGGAAGAGGCATGGCCTTGGGGGGCTGTTTGCTGCTTATGATGGTACCTCAGGGTTGTGGAGCACTCTTTTATGAGAGCTCACTGTTGGGTTTTAAGGAAGCTCTATACCTCGCTTTTTCTATTTGGTGCTGTTCTCAGTCTTCTGTTTTTGTCCCCCCTCCTGCTCATGTCAGCCCTGATGTGAACTACGAGGAGCTGGCTCGCTGCACGGATGATTTCAATGGAGCCCAGTGCAAGGCCGTGTGTGTTGAAGCGGTAAGTGTTGCCAGCACTGCCTTGGAGGGAAATGTGAAAGCTGGCATGGAGTAATGACTGAACTGACCGGGTGCTCACACGCCCTCTCTAAACACTGTCTCATTGGGCAGGGGATGATTGCCCTCCGCCGTGGAGCTACAGAGCTCACCCACGAGGACTACATGGAGGGAATCCTGGAGGTCCAAGCAAAGAAAAAAGCCAATCTGCAGTACTATGCCTGAGCTCTGCCCAACCAAGGGTGTCGCCCTGGCAGAGGACAGGACTAGACTGGACTGTACCACTTACTTTCTGTCTGGAAAAAATAAAGCATTTTTTCCCTCTAAAACCAAATCCATGATGTGTCAGGGCTGTTGCCATTGCTCGGTGGTTCTGCATCTGCAAAACAGAAAGTGAGGACCTCCTGTCCACGGTGCCCATCATGCTGACTTTGGAGCCTCCCCTCCTGCTAGAACTGGATTAAATTCTGCTTTGCTCCTTCTGGCTGAGGACCGACAGGTGATACTGCAGTAAGTGTTTTTGACACTGATAAACTGCAGCTCAGATAGCACCCCCTGTTTTCACCTGTGCAGCCCATGAATGGCCTGTACCAGCTTTGTTAGAGTCTTTGAAACTTCTGAACAAACAAACACTAATTTTGCAAGGGAGAAGTGAATACAGTTCACACATGAATGATGTTTTAACTCTCTCATTTCAACTCTGGAAGCTTTAACACCATTGCCAATATGTGCGGGAGCTCTTGGTGAAGCAGTCTGGTAATTAGAAAGAATTCAAGGTTTCATCCACTGAACAAGTCTTTCAGTACTTTTAATGCCAGTTGAGAATTACAACTTCCATTTAAAAATTACACTTTTCATAAATACACTGACTTTAGCATTAAGTATCTTACATGCCACTGTATTGTATTTTAAATACAATGTAAACATCTCCAAATGCTGGCCATCTCATCTTTACCTGTGCAGTTTTTGGACGCTTGGGAGAGGGGCGGGGATGTGAGGGAAGAAAGAATAGATGAACAAAAGAAAAATGCACCCCAGAGTACTTTGGCTGATGTTCCTGAGTTAGCCTTAGTACTTGCACTGGTTCCAAGGCCCTTACTGCTCGTTTTGGAGCGGGAGCTTGTTCCAGCGGAGCGTGCGTGTTATGGACACGCTGTGCTCAGGGGGCGTTTTGACATTAGGAGGGGGTGAGTGGTGAAGTGAGCAGAAGCCACGCGTTCCTGAGGAAAATACACTGCGGTTCCTTTGGACATTAATATTAGAGGGGGCTGTACATCTGCTGCTATTTTAGCAGTACTGCTCTTTGAGCTCGGGGAGAATTACTCATCTCCTTTCACAGAACAGGAGTTGCACCCACAAGTTAGTTGAGGGGTGAAGGTTGATCCCAGCAGCTCAAATGACATGCTTTCAGAAATACACCCTGGCCTCTAGTGGAATAGTTAGAAGCTGCATGTTGCATACATCTCTCCGTTAAAACAAGGCTCTGTTAGCCAGATGAGTAGCCTTACCTGTGTAAGAAGCTGAGGAAAACTTTCCCCTCCTTTCCTAAAGCCAGCAAGAGGTTTTTTTAGAGTCTTGCTGCTCAGTTACAGCCAGCTCCTTTTGGAAACAGCTTTAGTAGTGAGTAAATAGCTGATACCACAGCATGGAATAGCACAGATTTCTGATTTAAATTAATTAATACTAAGAATGGGCTAATTCTTTGGCCTAAACCTCGGCTTAGATCAAGGTTCTTTAGGGAAATGATGGCCTGAGCCAATGCTAGACAATGCCTGTTGCAAAAGTGTTCAAGCCAACTTCACGTAGCTCCTTGTCCTAATTTGGGTCTGAATTACACAGACCTGCAGCAATAGAGTTGGTGCGTAAACATCCCTTACAACTGGACAATAACAGGACCATGGAGGTACAGTTCAAAAAACAGCACAAAAAAAGACACAGCCTTGGACTTAATCCCTTTGTAAACAGAAGAAAAACAAATCAAAAGAACTGTCCCCCTTAAACCATCAATGAGCAAATCACCAATAATTCAAACCTGGAGTTACTTGCAATGTCTGTGTCCGCGGCTGGAGGCTGGAGCAGCATCCCCGGGGCTAGTATTCCCACAGCTCTGGCACTGCTCTCCCCGCGCTGACATGCCACCTCTTCCTGGTGTTAACCCCCAGCTCTGCCCAGGCTGCGCTTCCCAGAGTCTCTCCTTGCTCCCTCTGAGGTCACACAGCCCCATTTTCTTGTCTGGGTTTTTGTACAGACGCCCGGGACGTGTTGAGGGAGGGAGCCAAGGTGCAGAGGAAGCCAGCCAGGAGGGTGAGGCCCAGGCCTCCCCAGGCACAGAACATGGACCAGCCATAGCCATGACTGATGTCCTCTGGCAGCCCATAGACGTAGCGAGGGTAGCGAGACAACTCAAAATTGATCCCAGCGACGCATGTGCAGAGTGAGATGATACAGCATGTACCTGCAGGAGAAAAGCAAGAGGGTTCTACACTGCCCTCACACAGATTAATTATGCTCTGGACTTTTCCCTCAAAGGCTGGAATTTTCAAAATCAAGGAATAAGTTGGGGGTGTTTTTTTTCTGTAGTTCTACCAGTCTCTTCTTAGAAGGTGGGGAAAAAAAGGGCAAAATATATAGGCCAACGGAATACCTCATGTCACAGATAACCCACCTTGCCTTAGCTCCCTCTGTTGCTATCTGACATTGTCATGTATGGTTCAGTCTTCGAGACTTTCTTTCTTTCCTAGGACTAATGCCAGCAGGTTCCAGACAGCACTTGGGCAGTGAACAGCTGAAGCCTAGGGCTGTGAAGCACAGCGCCACTTGGTTGCTACTGGGAACGTCCAGCCTCCTGCCTAGGCCTGGGGAAAGGGCCCAGGGTTTGTCATCTGCTATACATTCATTGTGCACCTATAAAGAGGAGCAAAAAACTCGAACTTATAACACAAGGCACTCTAGTATGCCTTCTAGATACTAGTACGCTAGACTCAAGGTCGAGGCAATCATTCTATCCTCTCCAGCTCTGAATCTGTGTCTAAAATACTAATGATTGAAAGCTCTTGCTGCTGAGGGCATGCCCATTGCAGTACGTGCAGGAGCACTCGAAGGGCACCCAGCCTACCTGTTCCACTTTTCTAATACTTCACTCTCACTGCTGTGTGCTAAAGAAATGAAAATGTTCCCAAAGGAAACTTCAGTTAAGCAGCATCTGGGGTGATCAAGGACAGCACAAGCCTAACTCCCAGCCTCTCTAGCTTAACGCCATGGCAGCAGGTGCTTTTCTATGCAGCTCCCCAGAAACATGCCTTGGGAAGGCTCGAGGGAAAATTCTTCCCCCCCCCAAAAAAAAAAGTGGCACCAAACCAGTGTGGCACCTACTTGTTTAATTGATATAGATGCTGCTATATCACCAAGTTCCTTGCTTGCAGCCATTATAGATGCTGACACTGGACCTCTAGGGTAGTAACACTGGCTTTTAAGTATAAGAGTCTTGCTTCTCATTCTTGAAAGTTGCCTATTTTCTGCTTGCAATTTAAGAATCCCCATCCGTGGAGCACCTCAGTAGCTCATCATTCTGGTGCACTTGCTGCTACTATGCCCTTTTCAAATAAAGACAAAACACTGCCCATTCTTGAGCTGAACAATCGAAGTTCAGAAAAACCTTTGGCCATGCAGAAAGTCTGCTCCCAGCCAGGAGGAACAGATGTAACACCCTGGGCAAGCACTGAGGTCACGTCTTCATCACCGGGCCTGTGTTCTCCAGGCTTGGTTGGGTTTGGACTGCATTGTTACCTGAAGAGCAGCAGAAAGGTGCTGTACATATTGATTTTTTTGTTTGCTTATTAAGATTCCCTAGGGAAAACAGCCAAGCCATCTGACAGGAGCTGCAGGCTCCACACACTCGGAGCAGGCCAGAGGCCTGCGCTCACTGGGCATATGGTCCCCATGGCTACACAGCAGCTCTCCAGAGCAGAAGGCTCGTGTACATACAGTGGGGTCTACTGAGACACACACTAATACCCACGCAAGCACAGGTCCCGCCCAGTGCCGGGAGAAGTTGGAACGCTGCGCTGGTGGTTTGCTGCACTAAAGAACTGCTTTGTGTGTTTGCTGTGGGCTGACCTGACTTTTAAGAACACCTCCCCAGCCAAAGATACTGGCTGGTGACTTCAGGAGTAGAAGCGAAAGGCTCTCACCTCCCATTAGGAAGAGCAGCCCAGCCACGTACTGCATGAGCTCCTGCTGTTTGCAGCAGCCCAGCACACCAATGATCCACCCAAACAGGATGATGGAGACTGCCATGCCAATGAAGCCAGCTGTCATCCTCCGCAGATCTGAGGAAAGAGAAAGGAGAAAAGCAAGAAAGAAGACAGACATGAAGATGGCAGCACCTAGACAGGACAGCCAGGGGAGAGTCCAGACAGGTTTAGATTTGCTGGTTCTAAAGTTTGCATTTCACCCACGGACAACTCCTCCTGTAGCTTCTTTGAGGTAGAGAGTTTGTCCATCGCACTGAAACTAAGGGAATCCAGCTAACTCACCTCCTTTCTGCCAGGCACAGTACAACTAGAGAGCATCTCTGTCCTGATCAAGAGGAATACTGGCCAAAGACTCCTCAACATAGGACAGAAGGGGTGCATTATGAATGCAGCAATGATTTCAAAGAATCACAGAATCATCCAGGTTGGAAAAGATCTTGAAGATCATCCGGTCCAACCATTAACCTCACACTGACTGTTCCCAACTCCACCATATCCCTCAGCACTATGTCATCCCATCAGCCCAATTTGTAAATGTTAGTAATGCAAGGGTTATTTTGTGTGTGTGTGATGTGTTTCTTTGGGATATAATTTGCTGGGTAAGTGTCTGCTGAGAATAGAAATAAATGAAGTGAGAGGGGATGCTGAAAAGAAATAAAGGACTAGCGCATTGAAGGCAGATAGTGTGAACTGAAAAGAGGAATAGTGGGAGGACAGAAGCAGACAGCAGATCAATACAGTATGATGGAAACAACTCCAGTAACAAGCTCTAAAAAAAAACCTTGGGCACCAGTGATATGAACAGCACTTTGTCATCCATAATACAAGTGCTGTTCTTGTCTCCTCCTAGTTCAGACCCTAGCTGGATTTCCTCAGCACTGAGCCTCACATGACAGTGGCTAGGCAGAATTATGTGAGGCAACAGAACCAGAAAACAAACACAGAGAGAAGAGGGAGTAGAGAAACCCGATTAAATCACTCTCAGTGACAGGCTACAGGTCAGTCATCTGTGTGGGAAGGACTTGGGCATGAGGCACGCTTGTGGGACAGGAGCTGGTGGCAGGAGGTTGCAAAGGCAAACTGAGATGTTCCCTAAAAGCTGGTTGCCAGGGGGCTGTACCAGGTCTCTGGTGTGCACACAGAAAAACACAAGATCTATACAGACTACACAGTGATGCAACACTTCTGCTCTAAGCCAGCTAGAAATCATCTGTCCCCAGAGCCAGAATATGATTACACCTTGCAACACACTACACACATGCCTGTATTCCCGAATTCACTGCTTATGTCCCTCCAAATCACACGTCCCCTTCCAATTACACTGTCAGCTGCTTGCCCTTCCTCAATAACAAACCTGTACTTATGCTCAGAGCCCAGTGAGGGCTGGCTGACTGGGAGCCCTCGCCTGGCACTGCAGTAAGGCACTAAGGAATCCGGTCCATCTCGCATGCTGCTTTGGGTTACTTACGGAGTGCGTGCCACTCATCCTGCCGTATGGTGTTTGTGATGTTGATGGGCAAGTTGCGAGGCAGAGAGCTGGAGGTGTAGTGGTACTTCACAGCTGTGCAGCGCTGAATAACTCCTGTAAAAAGAGACATCATTGTGAAACAGCATGAAACCCCTGTGCCTTCCACTTGCTGCTGAGTCGACTGGCCCAGCAGAGCTCACACAGGGGAAGCCTTAGTTCACTAACAGAGCGAATGTAACCAAAAAAGAGCTGTTTACTTCAAAGGCTTTGGGGATCAGGAAGGGAGGGAGCCTTGCTACAAAGAAACACTCTCAAAGAGGGAGCAAGGTGCTGGGCCAGGCAGGCTCTAGGAAGGAACAGCTGAAGGCAAAGCAGTAACAGTGACCAAAAACCACGCCAGAAGTTTCCTAGAGGAACTGGTAGGATCTCTTTGGTTTGGCAAGGAAACAAGAACGTGGCCAAGTACCAACAGGACTGACTGCTTTGTCTCTAAGAAGACAGAGTTGAATCACTTTGAAAATTTTGAAGGAATGCTGGGAAGAGAACTGCATGGGAGAAAAGTTTGAATTCACTCCAGTAGTCATTGGCTCTTTGCTTTTGATGAACAAAAGTACCCAGGTAGGCTTGTTTCCATTACAGCTTAGAGAAAAGTGTACCCCAGGTGCAAATGTGAACCTACATGCACGCTCTCCTTGAAAGGGATTTTTACTTTAGAAAACAACCAATAACAGAGAAGCTACTAGGGGGTGGAGGGAGAGGAAGGTGCCTTGCCCACACTATTATAAATAAAGCCAGGGCCAGGACAGAGAATAAACACGGATGGTGGGGTGGAGAACAGCCAGAATGGTAAAAGAGCTAAATAGTATGAAAAGTTCCCCATAAACAATGGCTACAGGGTCATAACTGCTATTTGAGTGATGGGGCAGAAGAACCTTTCTGAAACAATTAGTTGGCCAGTGAGCTAATTAAGCTGGTGAACAATAACTAGCAGGGAGCTGCAGACTCAGTGATTAGCTTTGCAAAAGACACTAGAAAACCCAGAAGAAGAAACGGGTTTTGTGCTGCTCCCACCACAGTGGGAAGTATGGTTCTGCTCTCCAACAACGTTCTCTGGGACTGCACTGCCCTGGGTCCCGCAAGGACCTGCGGAGAGGAAGCTCCCACTTCACAAGATTCACAAGACGCCCAGCTAATTCCAGCCATAGGGCCAGGGAGGGAAAGGTGATCTGAATTTCCCCCCATTAACTAACCAGTGACATTTATTACAGATGGAACAAGCAGACATGTAAAGAGGAGCCCCCAAAAGGGGAAAACTCAAAGCTAGACTTCCCAAAGCCTCTGAGCAGAGAAGCATTGAAGTGGGCCGCCATCCTCGGCTCCCTGCCGCCTCCCCCGACAGCGATACACCGACACACCGAGCTGCTGCCCTTCACCTTCAGCCACTCGCCCTCACCCTGTGGAGCAGTGCTCCCTCTTCGCCGTTATATCAGAAAAAGCCTGGAACGCCACCTGAACAAACAGATCAGCGTGACAACCCAGTAACAGAGGATGTCAGTTCATTTGCAAAAGCTCTGCGAACAGCTGAATTAAGAACTCAGGCCCATATACAGCTCATCACAGTATCTAATTAAATTTTACCTGTAGCTGTTGACTGAATGCAATTTCAATATTGACATGATTTACATGTGTTGTTGAGAAGTATGTCTGTGGTACAAAGAAATGACATCTGATTTTACAGTGCACTGGATTCATTAAATGTAAGATCTATGCACTTGGATATTCTAATTACAAATGTGCTATCTATGAAGCAGTATTTTATCTAAGAGCAAGGATTACTACTTTTATAGCTCATTAAAGAAAAATCAAAGACTAGAGATGTACATCCCTTATGATCAAAGCTATGGACTCCTCAGCTAAAATGTCACTGAGAAAATCTTTGCTCTGTATTATTACAAGAGTTTACATGTAGACTGAAAGTAAAACCTCTCCACCTTCTTATATAAATCTGGTTATTTAGAAGTTTTCAAATATCAATTTATTCTGCCTCTGGTTTAAAAACTTTACTCCTAATCCTTTCTTCCCCAGAATTCAAAGGGCTAATTTTATGTAGGTAGCACATAAAAATATATTAAAACCACAAGTCTGCAAAACAAAGAGCTCAGGAGTTAGCAAATTTTAGGGTTTATGCTCAGTGCTGACACCTAATCCATGGGCTTGGTGACTGCCTTTGATTACACCATCACAAGCCATTTTTCCAGTAAGTTTCCCTTTCCTCTGAGAGCACTGGACCTGCTCCAGTGTGAGCCACCACAGGCAAAGCAAGGGAGGCCTCTCTCTGTAGGTCTACTGGGAAAGCTGAAACAGGTAGGCAAGAGAGTCGGTGAGGGCAATATCTTGGCTGAATACCTACCCACTTTCTCCCAGAAAATTGTAACATGCACCCAGGCAATCCTCAGTAGCCAGATTTGGCATCTGCAGTCACTAGTTCACACTTCCCATTTTCTGAGTGAATCTCTAATTTGCAGAGACACCAATGCATACAAATACAGCCAGGTACCCCTTGGGGCTGCATTTAGAGTGATACAGAATCACGGAACGGTTTGGGTTGGAAGGGACCTAAAGATCATCTAGTTCCCACGCCCCCGCCGTGGGCAGAGACACCTTCCACTTGCCCAAAGCCCCGTCCAACCTGGCATTGAACACTGCCAGGGAGGGGGCAGCCACAGCATCTCTGGGAAACCTGTGCCAGTGTCTCAGCACTTCCACAGTGAAGAATTTCTTCCTTAGATCTAACATAAATCTGCCCTCTGTCAGTTTAAAACTGTTACCCCTCATCCTGTCCCTAGCCCCTGATCAAGAGTCCCTCCCCAGCCTTCCTGTAGCCCCTTTCAGCACTGGCAGGCTGCTCTAAGGTCTCTCCAGAGCCTTCTCTTCTCCAGCTGCACCCCCCCAACTCTCTCAGCCTGTCCTCACAGAGGGGTGCTCCAGCCCCCCGAGCATCTTCGTGGCCTACTCTGGACCCGCTCGAGCAGGTCCATGTCTTTCTTATGCTGGTGGCCCCCAGAGCAGGATACACATAATGTCTTGTTCTCCAAGTACTCAAGGAAAAAAAAATAAATCAAAATCAGGTTTGCAATCTCGAAGTTATCACAAAGTCAAAGGTATTTCAAAGGTACTCCAATAAGTCCTTTGTTCTAAGCCCTTACATACCTTAAATCGCAGTCTATAACACAGGGACACCATCATGCCCTCCATTTCAGAAACCTGCTAGCAAAGTGATTTCACTTTTGTTTATAACACACTCAGAGGAGCACCATAAGAGAGCTTGCCAAAATTAAAAACTTTGCCTTCAGGCAAGGGCTTGAATAGAATGGAATCATGTGGTGAACAACAACTAAGTGAGCATTGTCCTTTTTGGCACACAAGTAAGTTGAGAATGCAGGACAGAAGGGGGCAGGTGCTCATGTTATTAGCTTACCATAAGGCACGTGTACAAGAAAATGGTTACACAGTCTGATCCTAGCATTTCTAAGGAGCATTAAAAGAACACTATGCAAGTTGCACTGCATGTGCAATTTTCTTGATTAAAAAATAAACATAAGACAAATGAACTGCATCCGGCAGTGTCACATTGACATTTTCATGGCCAAGCCACATGCCTGTGCCCTCCCACAGCCAACATGGTTTCTCACACTTTTTTTTTTTTTTTTTTTTTTTTCCCCTCAGGATTGCAACTGCAGACAGGTGCCCTTCCCATACACTCTCACAACCCTTGGGACACTATATGTGAGTGTCCCCAGATGAGTCTTTTCTTCTGACTGAACACAAAAGCTGGAAAAAGTCAGAGGGTGCAGGCTAGAAAGAATTTCTGGACCTCCAGATGCCCAGGCTGAGCACAGGCCCCTTGTCCCTGGGCCTAGACACCTAGAAACCCAGACCCAGGCCTGCTGTGACACATTCAATTTGTAATCCTGGGCTTAGCACACCCTGACTTTCAGTTTAGTTTTTGTCTCTCTCTGACTTTGAAACATGCGGGTTTTCTTCTCTACACCACCTGTGTGCCACTCTTAGGAGGAGGAAACACAGAGAGGTTCAGATTTTCTGTTCTGCCACCTCGTCCAGTCCTATCCTAGAGCAGTTTGGCTCTCACAGAGCTGGGAGACCCTCTCCTTCTCACCATGAGCAAGGCCAGGAAGCAACCATGGGCAGTAAACACTGAGCTACCATGTGAAGTCTGGCCCTCCTCCCCCTCATGCCTCAGGACCAAGTGGTCACTGAAGCTCCCTGGCCTGTTCCCACCATTTCTGCTCAAGATTGTGGAGACCATCACAGCTATGGGATCATTCTGTCCACAACATCACCCAAAGGTCACTAGATCTGGTAAACTGATCTTCCTTTAAAACTCTTACAGATAATATTTACTGACAGATCATACTTACGAACAGCCATGACCAAACAGATTGAATTTATTAAAGATGCTACTACGAGAGATGCTCTACAGACCACACAGTCATTCCTGTAACTCTTCCAATTTATCATCAGTTGGAAAGGACAGGAAGTACAGACACTAGGACTGAGCAGTTTTCTCACAAGGGACTCATTACTGCCACAAACTGCTGTGTTTCTCTGCTTAAGCAGCCAGTGGTTCTCAGTTTCTCAGCTACATGCTACTAGGAAGTAATTTCTGACATACTGACTACTTGCACTTGTGCAAAGCATTTGAGGCTGTCCCGCATGACATCCTTGTCTCTGAATTAGAGGGACATGGATTTGATGGATAGACCACTCAGTGGATAAGGAATTGGCTGGATGGTCACACTCAAAGAGTTCCAGTCAACAGCTCGATGTCCAGGTGGAGAGCAGTGACGAGTGGTGTTGACGAGTGGCGTTCCTCAGGGGTCGGTGTTGGGACCTGCGCTGTTTAGCAATTTTGTTGGTGACATGGACAGCGGGATCGAGTGCACCCTCAGCAAGTTTGCTGACAACGCCAAGCTGTGTGGTGCGGTCGACACGCTGGAGGGAAGGGATGTGCCATCCAGAGGGACCTGGACAGGCTGGAGAGGTGGGACCGTGTGAACCTCATGGAGTTCAACAAGGCTAAGTGCAAGGTCCTGCCCATGGGTCAGGGCAATCTCAAGCACAAATCCAGGCTGGGCCATGAGTGGATTGAGAGCAGCTCTGCAGAGAAGGATTTAGCGGATGGAAAACTGACTATGAGCCAGCAATGTGCGCTCACAGCCCAGAAAGCCAACCATGTGCTGGGCTGCATCAAGAGAAGTGTCACCAGCAGGTCGAGGGAGGGGATTCTCCCCCTCTACTCTGCACTCATGAGACCCCCCTGCAGTGCTGTGTCCAGCTCTGGGGGAACCAACATCAGAAGGACATGGAGCTGGTTGAGCGGGGCCAGAGGAGGCCACGAAGATGATCAGAGGGCTGGAGCACCCCCCTGTGAGGACAGGCTGAGAGAGTTGGGGGTTCAGCTGGAGAAGAGAAGGCTTCCCAGGACTTAAAGGGGACTACAGGAAAGGTGGGGAGGGACTCTTGATCAGGGGGTGTAGGGATAGGAGAAGGGGTAACAGTTTTAAACTGACAGAGGGCAGATTTAGATTAGATCTAAGGAAGAAATTCTTCACTGTGGGGGTGGCAACTGGCACAGGTTGCCCAGAGAAGCTGTGGCTGCCCCCTCCCTGGAAGGGTTCAAGGCCAGGTTGGATGGGTGTGAGCAACCTGGGCTAGTGGAAGGTGTCCCTGTCCAGGGCAGGGGAGTGGAACTAGATGGTGTTTAAGGTCCCTTTTAACCCAAACCACTCCGTGATTCTGTGATTGCAGCACCAGTATATGTGAGATGCGCCAGTCCCACCCCCCAGCTTTTTTCAGAGCAAGCTTGAAAAGCAATAAAATCCCCAGTTTACAAACAGTGATGAACCTTATGGCTTTTAATTCCTTCAATTTACTGGTGTTAAAATGCATGTTGTTCAAATTAACCCACCAAGTTATCCAAAGCAGCCCATTAGAATGGATCTTTCCTCAACATTTTCTACTGTCACCACTTCTTAAGCAACAGTTTTTTTCATACTAAGAGAAGACCACTAAAGAACATATAATAAATCCCTGCAGGACCTCACTACTTAAGAATTCTCCATGCAAAAGGTTTCTGTTGCAGTTATCCAGCGTGTAATCTGCATAGCCCAGGCTCTACAAGATGATGTATAGCGCTCAAGTTCTTACACTCACGTCATCCCTCCCTACACACAGACACATCCTCTTAGTTTCCCTACCAAAGTGTTTCAGTTCTTTGGCTGCTATCTTTTACTGATTGCTAATCTCCATTTTCCCCATTTGGTTTGTTCATTATTTCTTCTTTTGCCTTCTTAATTGTATTTTTAAGATGAAACTATCTATTTTGCCACAGTTTCAAAACAGTGATTTTGCATTTTAAGAAAAATCCCACATATCATTCCTCTTTCACATTTAAACATTTCCCACCTCTCAGTTTTGCATTGTATTTTTTGTCTTCTGCTTCTTCCTTTTAAATATATGAAGTGAATATATTTTCCATTTTTTAAAATACATATATTTTGGATATAGAAATGTATGCATGTATATGCATCATCAGCTAAAATGCTCAAGTATGAAAGTTGCAACAGCACTGCTTTGTATTAATAGCAGTAGATAAATACAGGACTAGAAATCCATGGAATTATCTGCATGGATAAGGGTACTTATGGACTTAGTCACTTACTCATACTTCAATAAAGACCCAGAAAGGAAAGAAACTTTATTCCAGAGGTACTAGAAAAATGGAGAGTATAAACCCAAACCAAAATTACCAGAGGACTGTCACAAAAAAAAAACCCAACAAAACAAACAAAACTTACTTCTCTGCCACTAAAAGCTTATAAAAATCCCTAGGTTAAGGCCTTTTAGGGGTATAAGAAGGTATCACACATCACCAAAAAGCTAGCTGAAGACTTTGTGCAAGTTGAGGAGAAAATAGGACTTTCAGAGGTGCACAGTAGTGATATTCAGCACATACTAGGAAAAAAATGCCTGTTTCTTCTTTTTGGAAGCCCCAGATCTAATACCGTGCTTTAGAGAACAGTTCAGCCATAGACACACCTGACCATCGTCCGGAAAAGGCCGCTTAATCACAGTTGTCAGAGAAAAGATAGACACAGCAGGAACAAGGAAAGGCTGCTAGCAAAGCAGGTCAGGGGAAGGGATGAAAAGAGAGGCATGTCTATTTAAAGATCTGACTCCACAAGAACTATTATTAATAATTTCCCTCTATAAGATAAAGCATAAATCTTTACAGGAGCAACTGCAGACCTAATAGGCAAAGAATATCAGGGAGGTGAGGCTTGTAGTGAAAGGCAAGGTCTTTTATTAGAACAGCTGAAGAAAAAAAGAAAGTAGAAGGAAAACCTTTTGGGTCTGATGTCCCTCCAGTTTTGCACATCAGACCCTGAGGAAGATCATTCAACACCCTGTAACACCCTCATGCATGCAGAATGCAGACTCCAGCCTCTCTTACTGTTGTAGTGTTGGGAAAATACCTCAGAAACAGAAATACTGAGGACAAAACTAGTATTCTTCCCATCCCTTCCCCCAACCTTTGCTAATCTCAGTGGGAGCTGAAAGCATTTGGCTTGATGAGAAGCAAAAAATAGATAAATATTTTACATGACAGGCACAATTAATAGAAAGAAATTAATGAGCTGCCTTTTAGTGAAATGAGATCAACATGGAAATAAAAATGAAAACGCATAAAATGGGTCCCAGGAGATTAAATAGAAAGAAGCTAAACACACAGCACTGGAGTTTCTAAAAGTAAGTTGCAGCTGTGCATTGGAAAGAAGGGACAAAGACGAGCTGAGCTTCACAGTGCCAGTCTATCCATCCTCTGCTGTGCAGGACTGGCGTCACAGTTGGAAGCCACACTGAAGAACTGCTCCCACTTTCTTAAGATAGCATTTCCATTTTGTGCCTCAATGGACGCACTTCTCCCAACTCCTACTCTCCCTGTGCTAATACATACCTGCTGGAACAATAAGTCCTGTTATTTATCATTAACCGTACATGGTGCTGCTTCTCCTAAGCTTGTTTTATATGTCACTCATTTTGACTTAAAAGGTCAGGCCGCTGCATTATTAGTATCATCCAGTCCAGGAATTTTATTCATACTTTGTGAACTGCCTGGCTTTGCACCACGTGCCATAATAGCAGAAGATCCACCGCTTTCCCTCCTGTCACCTCTGGAGCCCTGAGCGACAACTGCCACCATCAAGGCCTGGCAATCCATCCACTGCCGCAACGAGAACTCCCCCGTGCTGGAACGGCAACAACAGGTCCCTTTCCCCTGGCTGCAAACACGGCGGAGCTACGAACCATACCGTCCGTGCCTCAGCGCTCAGTCGCAAGCAGGTGTCAGGGGTAGGGCCGTGCCCACCGAGACCCCTCTCGAGCGGCAGGCCCCGCACCGGGCCGCCGACGGGGCTCCCCGGGGACGCGGTCCCACCCAGCGCTGCAGCACTGGAAGCAGCCGGGGGGGCGCACAAGACCCCGGGCTCGGGTCAGGGCCAGGCTCGCCGCTTCCCGCACGACCAGGGACACCGGGAGCCCCGGGGGCCGTGCGAGGCTGCACC